TGCTACACCCTTTTTTCACTTGTACCTTTCAGGTGAACGACAGCCACTGACCGGCAAGAACAAAAGGACCCGGGAAACTTGGGCAAAAGCCTCGATCCTGTGTATCAATCCATGAATCCGTGAATCCGTTATTGGTTGTGCAACTTCGTTGCCGATCCTTGGATTTCTACTACGCCCACTATGGCATATAGAACGCCACGGCATCTTGAGGCAAGGTCATTAAGACTTACCATAGTCAGAGACACCGAGCTGCGGGTGCTCGGTGCTAGTTGGCTAACACTCTAACCAATCAAGAAATGACTTCGTTTAGTCCGTAGTCCATAGTCTGGCCACTGACTAGAGGATTGGCAGACGGGATCGAGGCCTTTGCCCAGGCTTCCGGGCACAGAGATGACTATCAACAGGTATCCTGTCAAGTGGAGACGCTGCCGCTAGGTCGCTCAATACAATACCCATGCCGGCATATTCAGATGCAGCGGACTCTTCACCAGAAGTGTACAACCGGAACTTGAAACAGCGAGATGACAGTCAGTTCAGTTACATTATTTGCATCTTGTATCTTGTTTCTGACAGAGAGCATACACCAATGCAGAGGGAATGCAGCGTATGAGCAAGGGCCACCTGTTAGGTTGTTTGCCTCTGTGTCCGAACTTTAAGGGTAGCTAAGTGGGCCGGCTCTCTGGGTTTCAAAACGGATTTCGAAGTGTTTAGAGTTGTTACTGAAGTCGGACCTACAGAAGCTGCAGGTGAGTGTGAGGCACAGTGAACGATGCGGTCTGTCTAGGTGCTTGGACCTGTGGGAGGAGTATTCACACTTGGGTATGGTGTGCTAGAAGAGGGAAAAATTGTAACTGTAGGAAGGTAGGCGCCAGCAGTGCTACGTTTTCGCTTACCCGCCCTACTGTATGCTACAAATAAGGTGACGGCCGATGTGAGGGATAGTGTAAGTTGTAAGTATCGTGGTCGTACGTGGGTTGGGATACTGCCGGTTCATTGAGACATAGACAAAAGGACGATTACGGTCGTCAACTCAAGTCTTCGGCTCAAAAGCCTGACCACAAGGCCGCAGTGTTTGGCGAGAAATGCATGTTCATTACCATTTTTATAGAACAAGTCACCACACATGCTCCAAATCCTAACATGGAGGGCCAAGAAACTATTGGTCAGACCTCTAAACATTGACCAAATCATAAATGAAAACAGATAAATAAGTTATCATAAATCATCCAGTGCCTAGTTTCCATGCCACTTGAAAGAAGCACGAGGGCTGGGATACTGCCAGGTTGCCCAAGCCTAGTCAAGTGGTAGAGGTCGGATTCGAACCACGGACCTTCCGGTTATTAACTTCGCGCTCTAACCAACGAGCCATCTCGCCCATTGACCAGTGTGATGTGAGACTGCGTGTCGCATGGACACTACCCAGTATAGCTCAATGGGCACACAAACCGTCACACGGTAAGGTCGCCTCTTCGTTACGGGGGATCCTTCCCGGATTCAATAACCTGGCTGCAGGTGGCCGGCCTCACCCGAGGACGCAGGGAGTAAGGTGTTTCTATCTCACTCCTAATCTAAGCCCTGGATATCGAGCAAGACTTCAAAATTTATCGAAGCTCGGACACGCTTTTTTTCTGGACATGCAGTGTTACTCCGCGAACTGTGAAATGTGAGGTGAAATAGATAATATGTGCGCACAGACAAGCTCGGGTGCTTCAGAAAGCTGAAGTGATGGAGAACGTGACAAACTCGGGGAACGGGCGTAAAGTGTTACAGTTGATACGCTCAACAGGCTTTAATAGTCCCCCGGTGAACAAGACCATCACAGGGAACGATAGCTCACCCATCTGTAAAAACAGAAGAGCGCCAGAATCGTTCTTTCGTTCGTTCAGATGTAAAAGCAGCGTACTCGCCATACAAGGTTACAGCTGTCACAGTTTCGTTCACCGACGATTTGGGGAGGTGGGGTAGAAAGCTATGCGTTGGAGGCGGTGGCTGATACAATTGGCACATCAGTAAAGGAGGGGGGAGTGGATTTTTCATTGAGGATATCGGGAGGGGGAGCCATACCTTGAAGGCAACAGCTTAGATACATGCGCACGACTGAACTATGTAAATGTCTCTAACCGTTGATGTGTCCTGCCTTGAGGTCCCCATCCAGGGAGAGGGCAATGGTCACTCAGCTGAGTCTTCTGGCGATGGCTCTCATTCTTTGCTTCCAAGTCATTGCTTGATTCCTCATGGTTCATTTCCATCCTTTGTCTGATTGCACGAAAAGGGCTACTCAGGGAAGTGGTTTGACTGGCATGCTGACACGTGACCAAGCCAGTGCAACCTGTGGGGTATGATCAGTTCGTCCAGCTTGGACGAGTTATTTCTCCTGAAAACCACTCGAAGTACTTCAACATCACCGATTCCACGAGACTAGGGGAATGTCCCGAAGACATGGATGGTCAAACACTGAACTAGGTCGTCATTTTCATCACCATTTTCATCGGACGGGATCATTTAAATTACAGCACGTGATTCGATCATTCGGGGTACATTTAGGGCTCACTACTGCTTCCTGGGAGAAAGTCACGAGAAAAAAAGTAATTTGAATCGTCGAAACAAGGCACATAGTTGGAAGCTCGATATGTGAAGGAACATCATATAACGGCTGTTTTCCACAGACCATTTGACGAAAAGGCCGAACCTTGGCCTGAAGTACAGTCTGTTTTTTGGAAGGCGAACCTTACTCGAAAATTCGAGAAATGGCCACGCTGACTTGTTTATTCATAATGCAACAGTGCAGATGACATTTGTTCTGTGTCTGCTTCTTCTCTGCAGAAGTCGAAACAAGCACTTCGTTTTTTGGGATTTATCTTACCTGGTTATGTATAAACTCGTCCAACGTTTTAGGCACTTGTTTTGTTTCGCTAAAAGTGCTCGCAGGTAGTTTGCTACCATAAATCCCACAAACTCGGCGCTGAAAACGGGACTGTTAAACAAAGTCAAAATTGGACTTTTTGTCTCCTTAACGGACAGTTATGATACTCCGTATACCGGACCTGTTTCGGAGTTCGACCGAAGCAACAACCTGTTAGCTTTTCAGTGTTTACTTACCCGGACTGCCAACGTACTATTCTTATTTCATTCGCCGAATCTTTTTCTCATTTTAGTGAGGTGTAAGACTGACTGTGATGACCAGTGCACACCCAATCACAAATTTACCCTCCGTTACTTGCGATGTAAGCCTCCGGTAAAGCTGCAGTTCAATTGCCAATGCAACCATTGCGCGTATGCTCTTGGAATGTGAATGGACTTCGGTCACTACCGTCACCTTTGAAAGTAATTCTGGATTCATTAGACGCAGATATTATCTGCCTCCAAGAGACTAAAACATCTCGTAATTACTGAGCGTTCGGCCTCATTAACAGTGACATTCCAGGAGATCTAGGTAGCAAGTGGTCATGCGTTGATGCGTACAATTCCTATTTCAGTCACTGCACACTTAAGGTCGGTTATTCAGGTATGTAGCACTTTGTTGATCAGTCATCATTCCCAGGTGTCGCCATATTTTGTCGAGATCCACTAAAGCCCATCGCCGCCACAGAAGGATTTGCTCAAACGCTTGCATACATTGATCAGTATAGCTTGTCATCCGGAAATGATGTTCCAGAACCAGGAGTTGAACTATGTCCCAAGGATCTCAAGGCAATTGATTCTGAAGGCCGATTCCTGGTCGTGTTTTTTCCACCGCAGGCCATCCGTCGACTGGATGAGCTTCAGGTTGGGCCCAATCGTCCGCTTGCTGTAATATCTGTCTACGTTCCCCGAGTTAGTCCGGACGATCCGAAAAGAGTTCATTTTCGATCGAAATTCGAACAATTGTTTACCTTATGTGTGAACAAGCTACTTCGCTACAAGTGGGCACAAATTATCCATTTTATTTTACCCAATCTTCTGTAGTCACGTTGTCATATCTGGTGATCTAAATGTCTACCATACCATATTGGATCACTGTGAACCTGAAATTGTTAAGGTGAGTTGAAGTCCCCATGGATCTGTCGTCAAAATTTCCATCTTACGGGAGCGGACAAAAGGGCATCAGATCCGATCCCAGGAAACCGAAAAATCTCTTTCAAAGGGACGCTAGTTCGTTAGGTGACAGTTTTGTCCGTATTATCCCCAGTTATACACATCGATTCGCATACTTGTGGATGAATGGGTTTTGGCATCGGTACTCCGATAACAAATTGTAAAACGAGCCAATGGGTGAACAGTGGTCCACTTCTCCAAAGCAGCCTCTTGGGTAGTCATGTTGGGGCTTGTGTTCCTGACCGTCCATCAACTGAGCCGAGGTTATGCCTCAGTTTTGTTTTAGCCTGACATCTGTTAGCGTAGAAAAACGTGCTTAGTGCTCGCAGCCCAAACTACAAGCTATCTTCCCGAGTTTTGTTTGACTGGTTATCAGGATGGCTGCAACGCAATAAATTCACCTGCTTAGTTATTCCTCGAGGTAGAGAAGAGTGACCACGCTGATTAGAGGAATCACGGCTATTCTCAACTTGACCCCACTGAAGACTACGGTGGACGAGTCCCGGAAAGTCATACTTGATGTCTTCAGATGACATGCTATTTGGGATAGTAACTCGAAACATGATAAGATGCCTGTTGTACCTCAATTATTAAATTCATAATTTGCTCTTAAGAAAACGAAATCATGCGTTTCAGCAAAGTGGTGCACTGCAGGATATGAATGTGATAAGAAGTGTGTGAAAGCGAATACGAACATCTACGAATAGTCCCTCCATGTCCGGAGGAACGATGGAAAAGTACTGCTATTTTGGTGCAGTCCTTCAAGAAAATTCGGTAGTGATTGAATTGTAAGTTCGAATTTCCTTCAATCAGTTGTTAGGCACTTAAGGGAACAAGGTATCCCACAACGTGCCAGGTAACTTGAAATAAGGAAATCTAGTCCTCTTAGTGTTAACCGAGAGCCCATAAACTAGGTCAATTCCTTCGAGTATTTTTGCACCGTCATCCCCCAACTGGTCAAGATATAGACATTCACATCGACAGCGCCAGGGAGATGCCCATGCAACTTTAAACCGCTCCATATAGACGCTCGGAAATCGGTCTTTCAACGAAGCTCTATGTGTACACTACGGCTGATTTCACCACTTGTGCTTAAGCGGAGTATTCAAAGTACATTGGAGTGACACAGTATACAATGGTAATGTCAGGGACCGTTATTATAACATACTACGTCTGCGAGTTGATCCTGCAACCCAGACTACAGTGGTTGGGACAGTTCCCCCGCAACTGAGTTGTTTCTCAAAGTATTTTTCTCATCAGTCCAAACGTTCTCCTTTGATGAATATCAGTCCCTGATAGGTTTTCTGACAAGGGGCTTCCGAAAACCAACCGAAGGAACTACGTAGAATCGCCTGTGGACATTTCCAGGATTTTTCGCGCCTTCCATCTCTCTGGTCTTCTGGGTCAACTAGGCTTCTCCACCTCTGGGGATATCCAGTTTTACCTGGCGTCGGATGATTTGCGTCGGGTTATGGTTGCAGCCAGGAATATTTTGTCGCCAGCCTTCAACAAAGCCACGGTTCTATCAGAAATCCAAAGTTTGGATGAGGTTCACTGGGTTGTGCCGCAAACGGAAGTTCCGGTTCTGGGTAGCACTGGACATCTGTTTCCGTTGGCCGATAATATCCGACATCGGACCGTCCGTGAAGCATTCAAGGAGTTGACTCTGAAAGTTCCGTTCGACTTCCCGGTCGTGACTGCCCTTCTCAGAATTGCGCTGTCACACGTGGCTGTCTACAGTTAAAGCCCACGCTTAGCAACTTAGTTTGCATGTAGTTTACGGGGGCAGCTAGTGGAGCAAACTGCTTGACTTTGTGCTCGGACATTGCTATCGATCGTGCTGCGTAGACAGCAGTGGTCTGGTTCTTGGAGCTGACTCGTTCTCCAGGAGAAAATCGCTCGAGATGACTCGGTGGTTAAGACGCGAACTTACTGACCGGAAGTTCCGTGGTTCGAACCTATTCCCGGTAGCTCGATGGCTGTTGCCCAGGTAGTGTCTCAACCCTTGTGCTTTCTTCGGGTGATACGGCAACTCGGCACTTAGAAGGTGTAGTGGCTGGATGACTGTTCTTGTTTATTCTATTGGCTTCCTAGATCGGTGTTCCATATCGGGGTTTTTCTTCCATCCTAAGTCGGCTTCTAACCACCACGTTAATTTTATATTAAATCAGCTATGTGACCAGAGTTCTTGTGAATATCCGCGTCGATTGAATAAGCTTGATCCAAACAAAATTGAGCACGTAGTATTCCATTGCTTTATTGTGATCCATCCATTTTAAATCACCGACCGATGTTCTTCAGCGGCTTATCGTCAACACTGCAGGGGTGTTCTTGCGATTGGTCACCTCCTGTGTCCATCTCCCCTTGTGTTACAGCTCGAAGCGCACACGACTGTTTATCGTCAGTGGCTCAACTCCCTGTTAACTCCGCATTCACGAGATCCACAAATCCCGGCTTCGGATGACTACTCACTTCCGGGTAACTTTGTGGATATATTCAGGTATATGGCCCCCTCATTGGGTGACCGATTGGCTTGTTCAAGGTTTTGCTTTCACCACAACTGCAATTTTCTCTAGCTAAAACAATAATGTTATCAGATGCGTTCTAATCGGGAAATTCAGGATTTCAGGGAGGGGGATGAAAGTTACGGGTTTGTAAGCTCGCACTTCGTTTTTTGGGATTTATCTTACCTGGTTATGTATAAACTCGTCCAACGTTTTAGGCACTTGTTTTGTTTCGCTAAAAGTGCTCGCAGGTAGTTTGCTACCATAAATCCCACAAACTCGGCGCTGAAAACGGGACTGTTAAACAAAGTCAAAATTGGACTTTTTGTCTCCTTAACGGACAGTTATGATACTCCGTATACCGGATCTGTTTCGGAATTCGACCGAAGCAACAACCTGTTAGCTTTTCAGTGTTTACTTACCCGGACTGCCAACGTACTATTCTTATTTCATTCGCCGAATCTTTTTCTCATTTTAGTGAGGTGTAAGACTGACTGTGATGACCAGTGCACACCCAATCACAAATTTACCCTCCGTTACTTGCGATGTAAGCCTCCGGTAAAGCTGCAGTTCAATTGCCAATGCAACCATTGCGCGTATGCTCTTGGAATGTGAATGGACTTCGGTCACTACCGTCACCTTTGAAAGTAATTCTGGATTCATTAGACGCAGATATTATCTGCCTCCAAGAGACTAAAACATCTCGTAATTACTGAGCGTTCGGCCTCATTAACAGTGACATTCCAGGAGATCTAGGTAGCAAGTGGTCATGCGTTGATGCGTACAATTCCTATTTCAGTCACTGCACACTTAAGGTCGGTTATTCAGGTATGTAGCACTTTGTTGATCAGTCATCATTCCCAGGTGTCGCCATATTTTGTCGAGATCCACTAAAGCCCATCGCCGCCACAGAAGGATTTGCTCAAACGCTTGCATACATTGATCAGTATAGCTTGTCATCCGGAAATGATGTTCCAGAACCAGGAGTTGAACTATGTCCCAAGGATCTCAAGGCAATTGATTCTGAAGGCCGATTCCTGGTCGTGTTTTTTCCACCGCAGGCCATCCGTCGACTGGATGAGCTTCAGGTTGGGCCCAATCGTCCGCTTGCTGTAATATCTGTCTACGTTCCCCGAGTTAGTCCGGACGATCCGAAAAGAGTTCATTTTCGATCGAAATTCGAACAATTGTTTACCTTATGTGTGAACAAGCTACTTCGCTACAAGTGGGCACAAATTATCCATTTTATTTTACCCAATCTTCTGTAGTCACGTTGTCATATCTGGTGATCTAAATGTCTACCATACCATATTGGATCACTGTGAACCTGAAATTGTTAAGGTGAGTTGAAGTCCCCATGGATCTGTCGTCAAAATTTCCATCTTACGGGAGCGGACAAAAGGGCATCAGATCCGATCCCAGGAAACCGAAAAATCTCTTTCAAAGGGACGCTAGTTCGTTAGGTGACAGTTTTGTCCGTATTGTCCCCAGTTATACACATCGATTCGCATACTTGTGGTGAATGGGTTTTGGCATCGGTACTCCGATAACAAATTGTAAAACGAGCCAATGGGTGAACAGTGGTCCACTTCTCCAAAGCAGCCTCTTGGGTAGTCATGTTGGGGCTTGTGTTCCTGACCGTCCATCAACTGAGCCGAGGTTATGCCTCAGTTTTGTTTTAGCCTGACATCTGTTAGCGTAGAAAAACGTGCTTAGTGCTCGCAGCCCAAACTACAAGCTATCTTCCCGAGTTTTGTTTGACTGGTTATCAGGATGGCTGCAACGCAATAAATTCACCTGCTTAGTTATTCCTCGAGGTAGAGAAGAGTGATCACGCTGATTAGAGGAATCACGGCTATTCTCAACTTGACCCCACTGAAGACTACGGTGGACGAGTCCCGGAAAGTCATACTTGATGTCTTCAGATGACATGCTATTTGGGATAGTAACTCGAAACATGATAAGATGCCTGTTGTACCTCAATTATTAAATTCATAATTTGCTCTTAAGAAAACGAAATCATGCGTTTCAGCAAAGTGGTGCACTGCAGGATATGAATGTGATAAGAAGTGTGTGAAAGCGAATACGAACATCTACGAATAGTCCCTCCATGTCCGGAGGAACGATGGAAAAGTACTGATATTTTGGTGCAGTCCTTCAAGAAAATTCGGTAGTGATTGAATTGTAAGTTCGAATTTCCTTCAATCAGTTGTTAGGCACTTAAGGGAACAAGGTATCCCACAACGTGCCAGGTAACTTGAAATAAGGAAATCTAGTCCTCTTAGTGTTAACCGAGAGCCCATAAACTAGGTCAATTCCTTCGAGTATTTTTGCACCGTCATCCCCCAACTGGTCAAGATATAGACATTCACATCGACAGCGCCAGGGAGATGCCCATGCAACTTTAAACCGCTCCATATAGACGCTCGGAAATCGGTCTTTCAACGAAGCTCTATGTGTACACTACGGCTGATTTCACCACTTGTGCTTAAGCGGAGTATTCAAAGTACATTGGAGTGACACAGTATACAATGGTAATGTCAGGGACCGTTATTATAACATACTACGTCTGCGAGTTGATCCTGCAACCCAGACTACAGTGGTTGGGACAGTTCCCCCGCAACTGAGTTGTTTCTCAAAGTATTTTGCTCATCAGTCCAAACGTTCTCCTTTGATGAATATCAGTCCCTGATAGGTTTTCTGACAAGGGGCTTCCGAAAACCAACCGAAGGAACTACGTAGAATCGCCTGTGGACATTTCCAGGATTTTTCGCGCCTTCCATCTCTCTGGTCTTCTGGGTCAACTAGGCTTCTCCACCTCTGGGGATATCCAGTTTTACCTGGCGTCGGATGATTTGCGTCGGGTTATGGTTGCAGCCAGGAATATTTCGTCGCCAGCCTTCAACAAAGCCACGGTTCTATCAGAAATCCAAAGTTTGGATGAGGTTCACTGGGTTGTGCCGCAAACGGAAGTTCCGGTTCTGGGTAGCACTGGACATCTGTTTCCGTTGGCCGATAATATCCGACATCGGACCGTCCGTGAAGCATTCAAGGAGTTGACTCTGAAAGTTCCGTTCGACTTCCCGGTCGTGACTGCCCTTCTCAGAATTTGTCAGTCACACGTGGCTGTCTACAGTTAAAGCCCACGCTTAGCAACTTAGTTTGCATGTAGTTTACGGGGGCAGCTAGTGGAGCAAACTGCTTGACTTTGTGCTCGGACATTGCTATCGATCGTGCTGCGTAGACAGCAGTGGTCTGGTTCTTGGAGCTGACTCGTTCTCCAGGAGAAAATCGCTCGAGATGACTCGGTGGTTAAGACGCGAACTTACTGACCGGAAGTTCCGTGGTTCGAACCTATTCCCGGTAGCTCGATGGCTGTTGCCCAGGTAGTGTCTCAACCCTTGTGCTTTCTTCGGGTGATACGGCAACTCGGCACTTAGAAGGTGTAGTGGCTGGATGACTGTTCTTGTTTATTCTATTGGCTTCCTAGATCGGTGTTCCATATCGGGGTTTTTCTTCCATCCTAAGTCGGCTTCTAACCACCACGTTAATTTTATATTAAATCAGCTATGTGACCAGAGTTCTTGTGAATATCCGCGTCGATTGAATAAGCTTGATCCAAACAAAATTGAGCACGTAGTATTCCATTGCTTTATTGTGATCCATCCATTTTAAATCACCGACCGATGTTCTTCAGCGGCTTATCGTCAACACTGCAGGGGTGTTCTTGCGATTGGTCACCTCCTGTGTCCATCTCCCCTTGTGTTACAGCTCGAAGCGCACACGACTGTTTATCGTCAGTGGCTCAACTCCCTGTTAACTCCGCATTCACGAGATCCACAAATCCCGGCTTCGGATGACTACTCACTTCCGGGTAACTTTGTGGATATATTCAGGTATATGGCCCCCTCATTGGGTGACCGATTGGCTTGTTCAAGGTTTTGCTTTCACCACAACTGCAATTTTCTCTAGCTAAAACAATAATGTTATCAGATGCGTTCTAATCGGGAAATTCAGGATTTCAGGGAGGGGGATGAAAGTTACGGGTTTGTAAGCTCAAGTCTCTCGAACATTAGTTTATATCACCTTGACTTTGAAGCGTACGACATCCTGTCTTCTGGTTCCGTTTACTTAATTGATTGTTTTTATATCATAGCTGTAATTCGTCCCCAAGTTTGCATGTCCGTGAGGTAGTGTTTCAGACTGGAAGCCCTCAGTCCACTAGTTTAATGCATTTCAAGACCTTTACTACAGGATTTCGAGTGAATTCCAAGTACGTATGAAAACCATAGTGTATCGGTGTTAGTTGCACAACGAAACGGGCCGTTCGAGGCGAACAACGTCTATCAAATGCTGATCATACGCTGAGAGGGTATATAGGACAAGGAAGGCTGACGACCTCAGTGTCAAATGCCCAACTAGACTGCCGTCCACACAGTTTTTTCCCGCTTACTGCATGTTTATAGTGTGCCCTTCTTCTGTTTTCACCTACCATACAGAATGCCTTGCCTAATTCAGTAATTCGCTAATAACGCGCAAGATAGCTCACTGGTTGAGGCGCAAGCAATTGACCGAGTGCTTGTGGTTCGAACCCAACGCATATTTTCCGATTGCTTCTGTCTGGACAATCTAGAGGTATCTCAGCGCTCGTGCTACCATGTACCGAGGTTTGCCACAACTATAAAAGTCACTTTGAAGCAACGAACCGCCTTAACAGTGAACCTCTCTGATTGATCAGACTAGAACGTTGCCAGAAGTCAACATCGTTTTTTTCAGATCTCACCAGCCAACCATACGCGCACCTAGGGGGATCGGGGGTCCCGACCAGTTATGCGCCATCGGTTTGGNAACATCGTTTTTTTCAGATCTCACCAGCCAACCATACGCGCACCTAGGGGGATCGGGGGTCCCAACCAGTTATGCGCCATCGGTTTGGTTTGCTGATGGCTCTAGAACTGCTCGTTCTTGTTCATCCTCCGGCCCCACTCCACCGGGTAGAGGACATTCAGCTGGTTACATATGCAGCACATGGCAAATACCATGCAGCATTGCATATCTTCTGCGGCGTAGCCCAATGGGATTCTCACTGCTGATGGGTTCGACAGATAGGAAACAATTTTAGTGTTTTTCTGCTTCCTAGGATAGGCGAACATCACTTGCAGGATGAAGTCCATGTTGAAGCTTCAAAACCTACCCATAATTCACGAGATAAAAGATTGCTCTGGTCCAGACAGGTGAAGTTCTTTGACATACCGAATAAAGTGGTACTTCATCCTGTTGTTCCGAATGCCTGAGTTTTATCAGTAAACCCACAAAAGGCCGCCATAACTGTATCGGAAAGAGACAGTAATAAAATGACCTGTTGTTTCTTCCGCGCATGCGATTTTTTATGATGATATTTACGGCAATATGACTTCCGTGGTTAGACAAGTGAGAAAAAGTACACTATACGGTGAGATACTTCACATATTGCAGCATTACTCCGCCATTTCACCAGTGACCCGCTTTCTCCATGCCCAATGTAGGCTGCAGCAAATGAATGAAAGAATGAAAGAAAGAAAGAAATTTGGACGTTACGTCCGCATCTTTATCCTTTTGAAGTCACAAACCCCACACGATGCGAGCTGCGTGGTCGAATAAATAGTATTACTGTGTTGTAGAGAGATATTTTGTCCAGTCGCATTAAGGATTTAGCAGAACTGTTCATTCGTCTACAACCACTAGTCTACCCAGAAATCATCAGCGGGTGCCGCCTTAGAGCAATTAAAGTGCACTACCTAGATAATAGTCAAGCTGTCCCCTGATCTATCCTGACATGCCCGTGTTGGAGATACATTCTGATGATCCGGCAACAGAAGATTAACTGCTCTGCTCGTTTTCCTTTTTGTAATCGAACATTCCATTCTTACTTCTGCCTCACCCATATAATACCTTTGTGTTCACCCGCGTTTTCTGTGGACCGTTGAAAGTAGATTTTACTGTTATCGGACACAGCATTCGAGTGCTACTCCCCGGTAATTTGTCCTTTAACTCATTCGTACCCTGATGGGTTGGCATATCAAAACCTGTTCGAATCGTCTCGACGCTATCCTCCACAAAAATTTCCACTCTCTACATGCTGACTGATGGAACTGTCCACCCAATTACCCCTTAACGGGCACGGGTGTAGTTTTGCACGCCAGAACGTCTGCCCATAAATACCGCACAGTCCTGTATTCGATCAGACTTAATGGTTCACTTTTGTGGGATGGTAAATTTTGAAGATGCTATCCATGTGGACCGAGTGTGCATTTTTGAACGTGGGTAAATAGTTTGTATGATTTCGTGAGTGCTCTCACTTTTTACGGATATTCTAAAACGCTTATCCGAAGATGTGCCATAAGTGATAAATAAAGAAAAATTAAAGCTCTATCTTGTCTTTTCCGGGTGTAGGAAAAATTATCTGCTCGTATCAGGCAAAAATTAGATTTGTTTGGAGTATGAGCTACTTGTAGTCTGTTGGTAGTATGAGTTTACGAAATTTCATTGCGGATTTCGTCCTGTTTGTTAAATCAATCCATAGCGTAAAGCCAAGAAGTGCTGCGCAGCTTTTTCAACCTTATTGACCTTTATAGTTCAACGGGGCGCGTAATATCCTTTATGTTAAAATGGCTGTCATTGAGTTCTTAGGGGTGTGTTTACTTTGTCGCTTGTTAGATTAAACTCCAATGCTTGTGATGTTTTAGCTACTACTTGCATGAGTTGGCACTCAAAATTAGATTCCAGTTTTTTGCCACGTTGAGGAACGAATAGCAATGCAGATTTTGTTGACAACGATATTGGTGCATCCGTGGATCTGCATACTATATTCCTGTCTGTTTATTCCCTCCCTGGGTCAGACACGTTCATCCAACTCGCAAAGATGGCTTCACATGTTGGTCTGCTCGTACCGGTGCCAGAGAAACAAATTATGGCGTTCGGTTGGACTACATTCTACTGGATGAAGTTTTGGCCACCTGGTTTGATCGTTGTACATCGCACACATTATGCGCAGATCACATGACCAACATCACAGGCTCGGATCACTGCCCAACTTGGACTCATTTACCTTTATGTTTGGATTTCAATGGCCTAAACTATCCTCTCCCGGCCCTGTGTTCTCGCAAATGGCCCCAGTGTCAGGCCAAGCAGGTTGGACTCAAGGGGTTCCTGGTTGCAGGTCCACCATCGACTGCCGACGATAATAAATCTAGTGGACTGCCTTGCGAACATGGTTCATCCACCAAGAATCGAAACGGCCAACCAAAATTGAAGCAGATGTGTCTTGGGATATGTGAGTCCATTATTACATGTACTTTAGAGATGTTACTTAACGAGTGGTGTCTGTCGGGTCTAGCTGGTTTTTGGGGGTTTACCCTCAAATATTGAGTGGATGCACAGTTTCTGAAAGTTTGCTAGGCGACCTTTCACCTTTGACATAAACACTTTGTCCAACCAAGTGAGCAGACTAGAAGGCCAGGCGATTTTTAAGGCATACGCCAAAATCTCTTCTACTTGTATGCCAATCATTATTAGACTTCTACTAGGGGTTTTTGTTAGTGCCGTTGAGAAAGTGGTACGATCAATCACTGAAGTTAGGTCTAGGGTCCGAGCCTTCTGGTTCGCTTCATGGGAGGATTTAGCTTGAGTGTCGTTTTTAGTCTTGAGGCCAGTCATA